GGAACCAGGGATTGAACTCAGGCCCTTGCGCTTGTCAGGAAAGCGCTTATTCCACTGAGCCATCTCCCCATCCCCCCCCTTTTTTTTGGTGCAGGATATCTTACCTGTCAACTTTAAATCTAACCTGTTCTAGTCTTGTTATATCCTAGCATTTGAACTACTTGATGGTTGCTCCTTCAGTCAGTTAATGAAAGCAAAGAACAGACTTGTTCATGTGATTTTTTTATTTTTTATTTTTTTTATGTGTTTAGTACAGGGCCCACAGAGTCTCACTACACAGACTGGACTTGTAGTGATCCTCCTGTTTTCACCTACCCAAGCACTGGGATTACAGGCATATACCACCACTCCCAGTCTCAATCGCCCTCTCAGTGCTCCCCAGGGGCTGGGCTAGCATGGCATGCCTGGGATTGAACCCTGGTCCCCGTGTCTGCCTAAGCAGGTGCTTTAACCCGCTGAGCTCTCTGGCTGACCTCCTTTTTTTATTCTGAGACGGTCTCATTATGAAGTTCAGGCTGGCCTTGAACTCACCTTGTACCCAAGCTGGCCTTTAACTCAGCAATCTTTTTGCCTCAGCCTTCTGAATGTTAGGATTACATGCATGCATCACTATGCCTGAACATTATAGTGTCTTGGGCATTAGTTAGCATCTTTTGTGTAAATATCTTTGTGCCTGGTAACATTTTTGAAAATTATAATTTTCATAAAAGTTGATATTACGGTGACATCACATTACTATTATACTGGACTAAGAAAACTTGACCAGGCTTGGATTGCTTGGTGTTTTCAAAATTAAGCATATATATTTATTAAGCATATATATGTACATATACATATACATTCTAGAATCTGATAGTTATGCCCTTTTCAATGACTGTTTAGTTGGGTTTTTTTGTTTGTTTGTTTGTTTGTTTTTGCAGTACCAGGGTTGGAACTCAGGACGTTGCACTTGCCAGGCAGGCGCTTACGCCACTGAGTAATTGTGAGATTGAATGCAGCTCTTCTTTGGTAGAAACAGTTACTTCATGAAATGTTTTTTACTCATTCATCAGTAGTGGTGTTAAACTGACATGCATACTGCCTAGTTGATATTTAGTATGTAGAATGTACTCAATAAATCAGAGATCAATGGTGAACTGGGAAGAAATAATTTATATCCTATAACTCTTGTTCAATTTCAGAAAGCCATGCAAGTTGTGCTTTCACTCCTTGTGTGGCCCTTGGCCCTTCGTGTGATAGTTTGATTTAATCTTTGTCATTTAGCTTATGAAAACTGAACTTCATTGCTCTATTTAGGCGCATCTTTATTGTTATATAATTTAATTTTTTATATATGTCAAGCTATTGTATTTTCCTTTCTTTACTGGAATTAACTATACAGAGTAAAAAAATGATGGTTTGCAAATATTATAAACACAATTTTAAAATCAGTAGTATGCTGAAGAGCTACCTCAAATATGTAACTCTTTGTGGCCCTTCAAGAAAATCCCTGTAAGCACCATAGAGTAATTAGAACCTGAATACTTGTAGATGTGGAGCAGTTTAACAGTGGTCTTGGGTGTCAGGGGTATAAATGTTTCAAAGTTTATCATCGTGGTCAACACTCTGATGTGATGAAGACCTCCTCATTATGGTATCTGGCAAGTGATCTGAAATTAAACCGCATAGGACCTGAAAGACCCTACTTCTTATCAGTCAGGCTGGGCAAAACACTTAGTGAAATTCTATTGTAATGTGAGGAAAACAAGTGTAAATGATAAAGTAAAAAGTAAAATACAAAATGAATTGAGGCTCAGAACAAAGGCAAAAGTAAACATAGTATTCCTTCAAGATGTGGAATTATTGACATTTATAAAAAGCTTTAGGGCACTGGTTTTTAGTGTAGTTAGTTGTAAAAATTCAATGTACTGCCTTTCATAAATTGAGACATAGTATAGAATTAGATTTATATTTATTTATAATGTGAAATTATATTTATTTAAAATTACATTTATGATGTAGAGTTTATATTTATTTGTAATTATATTTATGTATACTTATAGTTATTATAAGTATCTCATTATTTAGAGAATGGTTAATATATTTCTTAAGTTTCTTTTTTTTTTCATGGTACCGGGGATTTCAGTCTCTTTAAACATGGAAATACTGTGCATTTTTCTTTTCGGTAGTTGGCACTTTATGTGCTTTCATTTCTGGACCCCAAAGACCTGCTACAGGCAGCTCAGACGTGTCGATACTGGAGAATTTTGGCTGAAGACAACCTTCTCTGGAGAGAGAAATGCAAGGAAGAGGGTAAGGTTCAAATTCTTTTTTTTTTTTTTTTTTTTTAATGTATTTAGGACAGGGTCTACGGAATCTCACTGCATGGATTGGACTCAGTAGTGATTCTCCTGTTTTCAGCCTCCCAAGCACTGGGATTACAGGTGCGCGTTACCACACCTAGTCTCAATTGCTGTCTCAGCACGTCCTGGGGCAGGGCTTGCCCAGTTCGCTGGGGATCAAACCTCAGCCACTGCGCTCTGCCTAAGCAGGCACTTCAGTCTGCTGAGCTATCTGGCTGGCCCAAGGTTCAAATTTGCACAGGGAGTGTATTATTACTTTAGAAAAGCAGTGTGCTTGTGGAAAATAGGTACACAAAATAAGAGTAAATTTTATGTGCAAGTGGAGTAATGGTGAATAAACAAAAAGGGAGGGACTTTGGCTACTTGTCCAAGACTGTCTTCATTTACATGCACCTTCTTGGATACAGTAGTTAAAAAGTCAAGATGAAGATAGTTTAAAGGAAACTAAAAAGATATATTATCAAATATTGAGTATTCATTCTTTACATAAATATTTATTAAACACCTAGTATGAGCTAAACTTTATTTTGGTTTGGTTTGATTTAGTTTGGTTTGGTTTGGTGAGATTTGATGAGACAGTCTCATTCTAGAGTGCAGGCCGAACTTGAGCTCATTGGGGAGCCCAAGCAGGCCTCAGACTCTGGATCCTTTTGCCCCTACCTCTGGAGTGCTAAGATCACAGGCATGTGCCACCATGACATAGTAGTGTCCTCCCATTGTCTTCCTGTTGTAGAGCTTCTATTCCTATTTTGTTTTATTCTATGATTTTTTCTCTTATAATGGAATAGACACCAATATTAAGTGGAGGACTTTTTTCAGCAAATATTATATACATTTTGAAAAAAATATATAAAAATACTATTTGCTTCTAAGAAGCAAAATTTCTATGAAAAGTACAGGGCCACAGGTACTCTGTAGGTAATCCTGCCCATGGTGTTAGGAAGTCAGGTGGGGAACACTGGTGGCTTGTTCTGGTTAAACTTCTTGGTGAGGAGCCAGGGCCCTTGGTTTCTCATCTTGCTCTTACCATACCCCTGACCTGGCTACACAGTGGCACCTTCCTCTCTAGTGTCCATATAACATGGGGTTAATCATCTGTGTCACTTTCTCTCATAGAATTGTTTTTTAATGGCTTTTTAAAAATTGTGGTAACATGTAATAAAATGTATTAATGAAACAATTTTAAGTGCATAGTTCAGTGACATTAAACATATTTATATTTGCGGTAAAGTCACCAGCACTTCATCTTTTCTAGCTGAAACTCCATGTCCATTTAGTAGTAACTTACCCCCATCTTCCTTCTTCTAGGGCCTGGCAGCCACCTTCTATTTCTATCAGTGTGACTGGTCTGTTATCTCAGACCAGTAAAATCATACAGTATTTGCCCTTCTGTGATTGTTGTATTTCACTTAGCATATTGTCTTGAGGGCTTATCCATGTCAAGGCAATTGTCAGGTTTTCCTTTTAAGGGTGAGTGATGCTTCACTGTGTGTATTTACCACGTCAGTGTGCATTTGAATTGCCTCTACCTTTTGGCTACTGTGAATGGTACTGCTGTGAGCACAGTGTAGTTACCTGTTCAAGTCTCTTTCTTTTATATTTTGGGTATATGTTGAGAAGTCGATTTGCTTGATTATGTTAGCTCTGTTTAATTTCTTGATGGAGCCTCTACACTGTTTTCCACAACTGTTGTACTGTGTTGCATTCACTCGAGCAATGCACAGTTCAGTATCTGCACATCCTCACCAGCATCTCTTAGAATCATTTTTAGAAAGAAATGAAATAATGAATACAAAAATGTCACATGCAGAATGTCCCCTTTACATGATGGTTATACTCCCAGTATCAGAAATAGAACTGTGTCCTGCATTTTACTTAGTATAAAGGACAATTTTTAAATGTGTATTTTTTATTACTGATAAAGGGAATTATTCTTCTGAATTCTTTGATACTTCAGGGATTGATGAGCCATTGCACATCAAGAGAAGAAAAGTAATAAAGCCAGGTTTCATACACAGTCCATGGAAGAGTGCATACATCAGACAGCACAGGATTGATACAAACTGGAGGCGAGGAGAACTCAAATCTCCAAAGGTAACTGAAGGCTTACCGTCGTGTAACAGAAACCTACAGTGGTCCTACCCCCAGCACTGTGTCACTGCTTGGCGAGCGGTATAGCTGCACACCTATCTTCAGTGGAAAGGGAGCTAGATTTTAAAATAACAGAAAATATAACCGATACTGTTCCTTTACTGCTCATTTTTCTAATGTGATAACTAACTTACTTGAAGAAAAAAATGAGATGACTTGTATGTATTTCATGCTTTCATCGTAGGTAAATTAAAATCTCTGAATAGCTTCTTGAAATGTGTTGTGCCATATGTATTCTTCCCAAGAATTTATAGCTTCCTCTGATCACATCGCCTGAACATGGTTTTCTTGAGGAGTGTCTGTGTTTTGGTTTAGGATGGCTTTTCTGTGGTTTATTTTTATAAATTGAAGTGTAACCCTGATTTTTTTGTCTTACAACCTTTCAAGTATACAGAGAATGGTAAAAATACTTGAAATTCTTAGATGTAGTTTTATAACAAAAACAGTTTGGGGAGATGATATGTATACATCATGGCAGATTTTTTGTTGAAGTTGAAAAAGCTGATAACTGTTACTCATCTTTATAATTAGGAAGTGTTTTGTTCTTGTGTTAGAAATTCTTGTATGTATAAGACACATTCCTTTTCTTTAAATGTAAAATAGATGATTATAAAATACATTTAAGTATGAACCAACTTTATGGAGATCTTGATTCAGTAAAATTGTAATGGTAGGTATTTGAAATGAAAATAATAGAATATGGAAATAAAATGTTCAAGGTGGAGTCTTTAGCCAGGAAGGATTTATATAAGCCAGGAAGGCTTTATATTATATAAATTTTTATATAATAAATAGACTGGGGGTTACTGTTCCTACTTTATGACTGCCTCTTTTCACCAGTATTTGAAAGAATGTAATGTAGTGGCACTTTCTTAACCTATGCATCTCTCTGATAGGTGCTCAAAGGACATGATGATCACGTGATTACGTGCTTACAGTTCTGTGGGAACCGGATAGTTAGTGGTTCTGATGACAACACTCTGAAAGTTTGGTCAGCAGTCACAGGCAAAGTAAGTTTACTTCTTTCTGCACTTCACGGTTATCTTTTGGAGTTTATTTACCCACACATCAGCCATCCTCACTTACTGTGATAGTGACTATCAGGGCTTCTAGCTTAGCTCCACACCAGATTTGTGACAGTCCCCTTGGCACGATGATAATGACATTTCCCATATAAGGGTATCATTCAGTTCTTTTTTCATTTAAGAAGTTTGTCTGTCTCTGTGACTTAAATATTTTAAGATATTTTCAGATATGTCTTTTTATTGGCTCGCTTTTTCCCATCCAAGTTATACTTCATCTGTTTTAATGTCTTTCAAAAGTACAGTGTTTTTCCATATAAACTACTTTGTTAATAAGGTACCTATAATTTTGAAGTTAAGATTATGTTAATCTAGAGTTAATGTCAGACTCTTGTGATGTGGAATTTAAACAGAGTAGGCATTTAAATATGGCTCTGAAGAAAAATGCAATCCAAGCAATAGATTTACTTCATATAGTATTATACCTTAGTGATTCTGTAGCAGATATTTATCTCTATAAATTAAGTAATTGGCCACCTACAAAGTCGTGGAGAAAAAAAAAAATTCCATGTTTTAAAAAGTATCTTTTACCATATTGCTTCTTAGACAAGAATCTTATAAATATTGGAAGTCAGATGTTCAAATTTTTAAAAGCAGCTTCATATTTCATGGTATAATATTAGTGTTGGATTAATTTCAGGGTTTTAATGTCTGCCTTTACTTGTTTAGCAGTAGCTTGGCTAACTCCTCGCTCCTGCCCTGGGGCAGACTCAGATGAAGTGTGGTATGTAGCCACCCCCAGTTCGTTCTGTCTGTTTCTGTGCAACAACCCAAATTGTAGTTTTAGTGTTACTTCATCAAGGAGGCCAGCTGAGAGCTGTTGCACATTGTATTCATCTCTTACTTTTGCTTTCTGTCCCAATGTGTTTATATCACGTGGTTCTTACATAAATTTCTTTTTTGTGGGGGTAACGGGATCAAACTCAGAATCTTGTACTTGCCAGGAAGGTGCTTAAGCCTCTGAGCTATCTTCCCAGTCCTTACATAAATTTCATATCATGTTTCCTTTCTACACATTTGTTCCTCAGTTGGTGTACATGTGTATATAATGTGTACATAATGATACTGCATAGACTAAGCAGTCAGTAGTGATGGGGCCAGGTTATGGCAGTGCACAAAAAATTTTCTGATCAAATGCATTATATAGCTTATTCCGAATTTTAATGTGCTATTAAGATATTACTTTAACTTTCCTTTCTACCCAAAATTAATCATCTTAAGTGTTTTTCCAGTGTCTGAGAACATTAGTGGGACATACAGGTGGAGTCTGGTCATCACAGATGAGAGACAATATCATCATTAGTGGATCTACAGACCGGACTCTCAAGGTGTGGAACGCAGAGACTGGGGAATGTATACACACGCTGTATGGGCACACTTCCACTGTGCGCTGCATGCATCTGCACGAGAAAAGGTACCAGAAAAAACCCCATTGTAGTTGGCGCCTTCTGTCTCTTATGAGTCGTTACTGATATAGTGATAATGATTTTTAAAATAGACTTTAATGTTTCTAAATTAGGAAAGCCATATCATCTTGGCTTAGAATTGCAGGCTTTGAATTTCTTCCTTCATTTGGTATATTGTGGGCTGCTTTTTTTTTTCTTTTCTTTCTTTCTATTTATTTAGTACAGCATCTCACTACATAGCTCAGACTCATAGTGTTCCTCCTGTCTCAGCCTCCCCAGCACTACGATTACAGGCATGTGCCGCTATGCCCAGTTTCAATGGCCAGCTTGGCGTGGGGCTGGCACAGCATGCAGTACTGGGGATCGAACTTGGGTTCTTGCACTTTCCAGGCAGGTGCTTACACTGCAGAACTATCTCCCCAGCCCGGTGGGCAGCTTTCTTGAAACTCTACTCACTAATCCTTTTTGTCTCATGATTCATCATCTTCAAACAGAAGTCATTTTCTCTTTGTTGATGTCTGTATTTCTGCAAGTGGACAAATTTAGTCACTCAGACTTTCTTTTCTGAGTTCTGTTACTTACCTGCCCAGCTCTTGTCATAATCCTCAAATCTAGACAGAAGCAGAGGCCTGGGAGTGCTAATTTATCTCTTACTATCTGTTGTTGGAACTATTGTCGTAGCTTCCAAATGCAGTCTCCTCACCTTCTGTACAGTTGACAGAGAGCCCACGTATAATTATGATAGTTTCATTAACCTGTTCTGAAATGCCAGGAGCCTTCTCTTGCCTGCTGAATTAAGGAAGAAATCCTCAATGCAGAATCCAATTTTCAAAATGATTTTGACCAGTCCAGACTGCTTATCTTTTCCTTCTCAGTTCCTTCACTGTTGCTCTTTACTCTTGCTACAGTGCCCTTCTGCTAAAATCTTCCTATTGACATGTCTTCATTGTACCCCTGTTAAATAAATGTGTTTTTTATTTTGTTAAAAGATTACTCTGAAAGCTTCTTAACAGTAGGACCTTCCAGAATCCTACTGCAATTGGTTGTTTACCAATTGAGTCATCCAAACTTCACCATAGATTTGTAATGTGTAAGGAGAGTACTTGGAATTTGAATGTACTTGGAAGAGTGTGCTTTGTGGCTGAAACCTATTGAATATGTGTTAAGAAACCTAGTGATTCAGTCGGGGCTGTGTTCAGTGCTTCAGCATTCTGCTGTCCCATATAAAAACAGTGACACTTCTTTTCTCTTAGGAATGACATAAGGATGTCTGAGGTTTCAGCTTTTTTTTGTAATCCAAAGATGGTTGCATTATTATATTACTGTATATATGTGTTTTTCAGAAGAGTGCAACTTTAATAATGATGGTCCTGAATTCCTGTTGCTTCTGAAATGTCTTTAATAATCTGAACCCCATTGCCTATTCAGTATTTGTAAATTTAAGGATTAACAGCATAAACAGCCTTTTTTTTTGAAAACATGCCTAAAACTAGTTAATTTTACCAGAATTTATAGTATAAACTATCTGTCAGTTCTTAAATCCAAAATTCTGATTTGCAAATGTTTTGCTAAAAATCTTTATTGGATTTTTTTTACCTAATCACAAAGGTAATGTGTATTCATAATTGAAAATTTGGAAAATGGCAACATGAAGAAGATATTTAAGTTATTCAAGGTAATACCACTCATTTCCCCATTGACATTTGACACCTATGCCCACATTGTTGGGTCTACATTGTATACATTGATAGCCACATTCCTTTTTTAAAACAACAGAGTAGTTTTAAACTGTGTTCCACAGAACTGCATGGGGTTGAGGGGACACCTTGGGTTGAGCACTTGTCTGGCACGTGCAAGGTGCTGAGTTTCGTTCCCAGCACTGCAAAGCAGTGCAGTCACACGCTTTATAGTGTTGAAGTGAAGTCCACACATGAGGGAAGCAGCCCACCCGGTGGAATTCTAGGCATCACCACTTCCCATCTCAAGCAGAATTGCTTGGTGCTATGTTTTGTTGTTGTTGTTGGCAGAACCAGGGCTTGAATTCAGGCCCTTGTGCTTGCCAGGGAAGCGCTTATTCCTCTGAGCCATCTCCCCGGCCCCAGTGGTATGCTTTGTATCCAGGTTTTACAGAGGACTTCTTGAGAAAACAGCTGTCCATGCTCAAGAAAAAGGAGGGGCCTTTAAAAAAATCACAGGCTTCATCTGTGTTGCTCATGTTACTGAAAGTTATAATGTCCTTTTTTTCTCTTTTGCCCAACAGAGTTGTCAGTGGTTCTCGAGATGCCACTCTTAGGGTTTGGGATATCGAGACAGGCCAGTGTTTACATGTCTTGATGGGTCATGTGGCAGCAGTCCGCTGCGTTCAGTATGATGGCAGGAGGGTTGTCAGTGGAGCGTATGATTTCATGGTGAAGGTGTGGGATCCGGAGACCGAGACCTGTCTACACACGCTGCAGGGGCACACTAATAGGGTCTATTCCTTACAGGTAAGTGTCTCCTCACCCATCCCCGAGATGCTCTGCCCCCGAGTCACACAGTTGTGCCACTCAGATGGTCACTGTCAGATGGCTGATCTAGTCCGTCCAAAACAGATAAAGCCACCTCACCTGCTGTTTGCTTGTACTTGAAAATTGACATGAAGAAAATATGAATTTCAAAATTATTTAAATAGTTTAATAGTTTTAATTTCTGTGATCCATTTTTCCTCTAAAATACAAATATTTGTCTTAGGAGCTGAGACTTTGGGGCTCTTAGTTTGGTATGTTAATAGTCTCATAGGAAAATAGCCTGGATTTTAATAAACTTGGCAGAGGATTAATTTGGCAAAGCTCCCCCTTTGCCTTGATAACTGAAAGTGGATGGACCATGTAATCGTGGTTCCAGCCCCATTCAAAGTGGAGGTGGAGCTGGGGATATAGCTCAGTGGCATAAGCACCTGCCTTACAGGCACCAGGTCCTGACTTCGAATCCCAGTGCTGGGGGAAAAAAAAAAACACCAAAGTGGAGGTGGGCTCCATCTGTATGAAGCCGCTCCATTGTCCTGGGCCCACTGATTTATATGCTTAAAGAAGTGGATTTGACTAGCCTAATTTTTTGTTTACATTTGAACCTGATAGCCATGAATAAATTGTCATATTTAAAGATCATTAAGAAGACTGATAGATTTAGAAAATGGGTTTTATTTCCTAAAAGGCAGTGTATGCAATTTCTTAAAAATATATCCCATTAATTACATAGTTTATTTACCAGCTACTGCCCCTTAATGATCAGCAAATTAGTATGTAATCCCAATGCTGACATTGCTGCTCTGACAGTATTTCTTAATATATAGTGTCCTGTTCATGTCATTAAATATTGATATATAATAAAAATGTTAAATTAGAAAAGGTGATGAGCTTGAAGGAAAGGGAATTAACTGCAGTTGCTTTGAAGTTTTGTGATATGCTCAGAACCTTAATGGAATACAATATTCTTAAAATAGACCACTGGGTAGAAAGGAGGTAGCCAATATACATATAAATAAAATCTCCTGGGAATTGATGGACACTTACTGGCTTTTCCTTAGCTGGAAAGCTGGAGATGTTGCATAGCTTGCTTTTGTTACCTTAATGCTGCCTTTTTCAATTCTAGATGTCATTATCTTTTGGCACATTTCCTAATTAACATTAGGTTCTTGTAAATGAAACTTTTATTTTACATACAGTTTTTAATGGGAAGTTACCCTTTGAGCATCAGGAAAGTTATCTCTAGCCCTTTTGTGCCTCCGGTGCTGATAAGCACAGTCTTTTGTCACAAGCTGTTGTCATGAGTTTTAGCTTCCTGTGGAGACATACCCAAATGGCAGTCCTCACTGACTCATCCCTGTTATAAGCTATTGGAGGGGACCAGATGATTTAAAGTGGTGTTATTTCAGGGTTTCTTTCTTTTTTTAATTTTATGTATTTAGTACAGGGTCTCATTACACAGCTCAGACTCATACTGATCCTCCTGTTTTAGCCTCTCCAGAGCTGGGATCACAGGCATGCACCACCACACCCAGTCTTGTTGGCCAGCTCAGCACCCTGGGGTGGGGCATACATGCAGTATGGGAATCATACCCAGGTCCTTGTGCTTGCCAGGCAAGCCCTTAGACTGCTGAGCTATCTCTCCAGCACTCTTTTTTTTTTTTTTTTTTTTTTAAGTTGTTTCTGCATCTAGTTTGAAGCTACCAGGCATAGAAAATGCACATTTCTGATGAAAGCATTGTAACCCCACACACTGTGAAGTTGCCTGTGGCATGCACTTTATCTGGTACCTCCTGTTTTCTCTGGTCTTGGCTGTTGCCGTATTTGCCTCCATGTTAAGAGCAAGGAGAATGTTTGATACGAAGTGTATCCATCTCTGTTCTAACAAGCTGTGTCTCTTGTAGTTTGATGGCATCCATGTGGTGAGTGGCTCTCTTGATACATCCATCCGAGTTTGGGACGTGGAGACGGGGAATTGCATACATACGTTAACAGGGCACCAGTCGCTAACCAGTGGAATGGAACTCAAAGACAATATTCTTGTCTCTGGGAATGCAGATTCTACAGTTAAAATCTGGGATATCAAAACAGGACAGTGTTTACAAACATTGCAAGGTAAAAACTGGCCCATCTTTAGTTTTATCCATTAAAAATGTTATTGTTACTCAGTGGTGAAACATGGGTGGAGCCTTCACATCCAGTAGGGCTCACCTCAGCCAGAGCGCTTCCTCCAGGTAACCTTCCAAGCTTCTTCCCTCTGACCTCCAGAGCCAGGCCCCTGTGAGAAAGTGTTTCAGGCTGTGTTTTAATACAAACTTGTTTATATACCTGTGTTCATATCTCCTTGTTCCTTATAGTCCTGCATGTTCAGTTGAGTCTATATCTCCTTAAACAACTTGAGAAGAAAGATTTTGGTTGTTTCAGATAAGCAACATAGCCATTTAGTTTGAATTTCATAGAGTAGAAAGGAATAATAGTGTCCTCTGAAACACAAAAACTTACATGCGGGCATCTATACCGTTAAATGAGGCAGAACAGTGTTGGCTTCTTACTGATTGCCTTTTCTTTGTCTCGCCCTTCAGTTTTTTGGTGAGGTCAAGTGGTAGACAGCCCTGCCCCTTTTTGTTCCTCAGCTTACCCTTGTCTCTGGAACAGTGTCCACTCAGCCTCACGTTTGGCTGCTTGGTGCAGAGTGGCCAGGTAACAGATCTCCTAGGCCATTTGTGCATCAGCAGAACACAGGAGCCTGTGCTATCTTTACCACCGTGGGAAAGCGCTCTCTCACGCAGCCAGAAAAGCAAGTATGTGCCTGGTAGTTTACCAGGCTTCCTGGAAGCTGACTCTTGAACATTAACATTCCAGTTACAAATAACTACCAGATTTCCTTACATCCTAGCTGATCCTGAAATACTCAGAACAAGGTTTCTAAATATGCATCGTTTGAAATGTTGCATTTATTGTATGTTCTAATGTAGAATACTACAAATTACAGTGTGACTGACCCCTAGCCAAGGTTCCTAACCAGTAACTAAGTGCCTTTGGTTTTGCCTAGGTCCCAACAAGCATCAGAGTGCTGTGACCTGTTTACAGTTCAACAAGAACTTTGTCATTACCAGCTCAGATGATGGGACTGTAAAACTATGGGACTTGAAAACGGGTGAATTTATTCGAAACCTAGTCACATTGGAAAGTGGGGGGAGTGGGGGAGTTGTGTGGCGGATCAGAGCCTCCAACACAAAGCTGGTGTGTGCAGTTGGGAGTCGGAACGGGACTGAAGAAACCAAGCTGCTGGTGCTGGACTTCGATGTGGATATGAAGTGAAGAGCAGAAGAGGTGAATTTTGTCCAGAGGTGTAGAGATACACTCCCTGCCCTTCCCCCTGCGTACAAAAACAAAAACAAAAACAAAAAAAAAAAAAAAAAAAAGAAAAAAAGGGAAAAAAATGAAAAAGGAAAAAAAAAACAGAAAAAAGAGAAAAGAAAAGAAAATGAAAAAAAAAAATCCCTTGTACTCAGTGGTGCAGGATGTTGGCTTGGGGCAACAGAGTGAAAAGACCTACAGACTAAGAAGGAAAGAGGAAGAGATGACACACCATAACTGACAAGAGAACGGTCCGCTGTCTCATCCCAGAAAGGCTTTACTTTTGACTGAGGGCAGCTTTGCAAAATGAGACTTTCTAAATCAAACCAGGTGCAATTATTTCTTTATTTTCTTCTCCAGTGGTCCTTGGGCAGTGTTAATGCTGAAACATCATTAGAGTCTGCTAGCCTGTTCTTTTACCACTGTCACCTAGAAAGGAACTGCAATAATATCAAAACAAGTACTGGTTGACTTTCTAATTAGAGAGCATCTGCAACAAAAAGTCGTTTTTCTGAAGTGGAGAAGCTAAAAAAAAAAAAAAGAGAAAGAAAGAAAGAAAGAAAGAAAAATTACTGTGAATTGTTTTTGTACAGTTATCATGAAAAGCTTTTTTTTTTTTTTTTTTTTTTGCCAACCATTGCCAATGTCAATCAATCACAGTATTAGCCTCTGTTCATCTATTTACTGTTGCTTCCAGAGACACTCTTCAGTGCATATGTTGCTCAAGGTGGCAAGTTGTCCTGGGTTCTGTGAGTCCTGAGATGGATTGAATTCTTGATGCTGGTGCTAGAAGTAGGTCTTCAAATATGGGATTGTTGGCCCGCCCCTGTACTGTACTCCCAGTGGCCAAACTTATTTATGCTGCTAAATGAAAGAAAGAAAAAAGCAAATTATTTTTTTTTATTTTTTTTCTGCTGTGACGTTTTAGTCCCAGACTGAATTCCAAATTTGCTCTAGTTTGGTTACAGAAAAAAGACTTTTTGTCACTGAAACTTGAACCATCTGTGCCTCTAAGAGGCTGAGAATGGAAGAGTTTCAGATAATAAAGAGTGAAGTTTGCCTGCAAGTAAAGAATTGAGAGTGTGTGCAAAGCTTATTTTCTTTTATCTGGGCAAAAAAATTAAAACACATTCCTTGGAACAGAGCTGTTAATGCCTGTTCTGTGGAGAAACTTTTCTTTTTGAGGGCTGTGGTGAATGGATGAACATACATAATAAAACTGACAAAATATTTTAAAAATATATAAGACACAAAATTAAAGTTGCTGGTCAGTCTTAGCATTTTACAGTATTTGGGAAAACAACTGTTACAGTTTTCTTGCTCTGAGTAACTGACAAGAAAGGAACGATTGGGTCTCTGCAGTGAAGGCGTCCCACGCAAGCCAGTGTGGGGAAGGACGTCAGGTGGTTCGCCTCATTCTCCAGGAGCCGCGACTCAAGCTGAACTGTGAAAGTGGTTTAACACTGTATCCTAGGCGGTCTTTCTTCCTCCTCCTGTTTATTTTTTTTGTTGTTGTTTTATTTATAGTCTGATTTAAAACAATCAGATTCAAGTTGGTTAATTTTAGTTATGTAACAGCCTGACATGATGGAGGAAAACAACCTTTAAAGGGATTGTGTCTATGGTTTGATTCACTTAGAAATTTTATTTTCTTATAACTTAAGTGCAATAAAATGTGTTTTTTCATGTTAGTATGCCTGTTTCTTCCACCACGGTAATACTATTCCTATAAATATTTAGGGTTTGTCTCTAATATTTGAAATAGAAAGGTCTTGGTTTCCTCACATTCCCTGTGTTGGACATAGGAGTCAGTACTTCTAGACCTGTGTAGTGCTTCTGAAGTAAGGGTGGCAGCCTACATATGTGAGTTTTATTTATCACCTAAAATTATGAAGGACTTGTTCCTGAGCTTGTCTCTGTAAACTGACTAAGGGTGTATGAATTTTGATTCCTTTAAAAGGTCACAAAACTGTTGTGATAATTATATTTGGAAGCCCTATAATATGCTAAGTTAACTAAAAGTTCCCCCTTATTCAGTGCTTACCAAATGTTTGCAATCATCTTTTTTTTTTTTCCTCGAGCCGCTAGCATCCCTAAGAAGTAGGTAGGTATTATCTACATTTTTGAAGATGAGCCAAGAAATAGTAGCTCAGATTTGTTAGGTTATTTATCAATCAGATAACCAAGATTCAAGCTCATGTTTCCAAGCTGCCCTTCAAGACACTTTGATAAACTGAAACAAGGTTTGGGGTTGAAGAAACATCATTTTTATGGTGCTTTCAAAATCTTCTGTTGCCGTTTTGTTTGATCAATTCAACAAAAGGGAGAAAATACAGGAAGTTATTGAAACTGTACCTTATATTTAGCCCTCAGATAGCAGGATGGGTGGACAGGAAGGTTGGTAGAGAGGAGACAGTCAGACAGATCTACAATAATCTCAGCTATCCAGGCCATAGACAAAAGTCTGAAAGCTGATAGAAATGGACTTTCCCTAGAGAATGAGGCTTTTGTAGTCACAAAGCCTTTGTTCTTTATCACAGGCTAATTGGAACATCTGAACGTGGGTCCACAGAACCTACATTTAAGCATTCTCACCGCAAGCATGATGGACACTGACCTTTGAGAACCAGTGCTTAGATTTCGTTCTAGGACCTTTGGTTATTTAGTTTATTAGGCCTCAGCAAATTACAAGCACAAGGACAAGGACAGTAGGAGAAAGTGAGACAGTAAAATGAGTGGCTGGATAACTACATAGTGGAAAACATACTGGTCAGGCCATGAGGCCGGAAGGAGCAGCCCTTTCCTTCTGTAAAGCAAACCACACAGCCTGGAACCATGACTTCTGTTCACAGGGATACCTGAATTAGCAAGAGAAGTGGTGTTTTTATTTGATAGTTGTTGAAGCTGGTGAACTTTTCATAATGCCTTACAAAAGAGGCTTGACTATAATAGAACTGATAAAAGTATCCACTTTTGGAACATTACAAAAAGTAAAATGGGTTTGTGGGCAGATAGTCCCAAATTCAAATCCCAGTTCTAATGTTGTTCAGTTATTGGACACTTAGGGTTTCTTGACCTCATGGTCCTCATCTGAGACACAGAGGAAGCCCACCTCTGAGCTGAACGTGAGGAGTCAAGGTGGTACAAAGCACAGCAGCACACTGATGGCAGTTTGAAGTCTAGGTAGTAGCTACTGTTAAGATTTTACGAAAGAAGACCTAGATTGCTGTAACTTTCTGTATTTGAGAACAGTTGAATGTGTTTGTGACACATTCAGGTATATAATAAAATAGCATGTCTATATATACCATATAATACATGTCATTGCTGTACATGCAGAATTTACATTCTTTGGAGTGGTATCACATGGGTGCACGTTGAGTCTTACAGAGACCCCGTGAGATAAACTGGTATTGTGTACCCAATGGTGGGTTTTGTATATACCCAGGTGTTCATTAAATATTATTTTAGGAATACATGAATAATCTTTATTACAGTTGGTTTGTTCCTGAAAGAGAAAATGTTACCCCATTAAAAGGAATTAAAAGTAAAAACAGTAAAAGTCACTGAGGGAACCCCCCTTTGTAACCTCTTTTGTAAATTACCAGCTTATGTAACTGTACATTTTGAATCTCAACAATATAGGCAGTCTCCATATTTAGCTGTTACATGTTTGCAAGATCAAACATTCCCTGAAACTAAAGCAAAAATTAGGACACGGAAGTAACACATGAAAACCTGCAGCAAGTGCTTGGCAAATATGATTGAATACTGTGAAGGGAGTTGACTATCTCATTATTTCTTACTGGAGTTTGTTTATAATTTTGACACTTGGAAACCCCCTTACTGAGATTCAATTACCACAGGTATTTCATTAATTTGCAATAACCAGTGCCTACCAAATGGTTAAGTAAATATTTCAACCTACCTATTTAATTTCAAAAAGTAATTGACATTTAATTATTTGTAGTAACTTTTAAGTCATTTTCTCTCTCCTTTTCAAACTCATCTGTGTATGGTCTTATGTTTCTCTGAGTCGATTAGAGGCTACAGTGCAACACGATAAAAGACCACCATGTCCCTCCGAAAAGTGAAAGGAGGGGGGAACTGTCACAAGCAGCGTGGTGGCCCCATGGTGCCCATGCTCTGTACCCCTTTTCTTTCCCTGAGGTAGGGGCTTTAGCAGGAGCTAGAGATGCCTCAAAGGAACCCACACAGCCCTTGGACTAGGACCTGTAAGTCTTGGTCCGTGGGGAAGTCGGAAGCGAGCCGCTCTCACTATACATACAGCAGGACAGATTCACGTGGCTTTTTTTTTCCTGATTCATTTCCTCTGGGAGTTGGTAAGTTTTTGAAATCTCCTCTCAGTCAGTAGTTCCTCTTAAACACAGTTTTATTCATTTTCCTTCTATTGGGCATGCCTCAGCCCCGGTAAAAATTAGGGTTGTAAACTATATCCTTCAGGTTCTTCAGCAGGTAAACAACCTGACCTTGTCACCCCCGGCAGCAGCTGAAGAAGCTCCTGTTTTGCAGAGCCATTTTGGGAATTCTAATAGTAAAAATGGCTCAGTGTTGCTGATGGAAAAATGAATTTGAATAAACGCTTCTGACGCAGATTGTTTTAATGTTCCTTGCCTTGCTGCATTTTGGAACGTGTGTGTGTGTGTGTGTGTGTGTGTGTGTGCATCCATATAATATTTTGAACTAGGAATAAGCCTCTGTTAGTCATTCTCTGATGCTTTTTTCATCATCTGGAAAGAAATGGGCCAACAGAAGGATGGGATTCGTGGCCAAGAAGACTCTCCAGTGTCCTTCACGTGGAAGACTGGTGGCCACTGTGTGTGAAGAGAACCCATGTGTGTCCCCAGTCCCTTTTTTTTTAGAAGAGCCTCATCATTGCTTTGAATTAAGCAAAAAGTAATGACAGCATGGCCCACCTGTGCTGCCCAGCTACCCCAACCAGCTACCATGTCCACGTTATCCGTCCCGAAGCACGAGTGATGGCCGGACAGTGGGAGCCTTGCCGGCCTAGTTCATCCCTTTGCCGCCTTC